CGGACTACTTAAATTAGGCACTCAAAAGGTGCACGTGTGGCTATATGTACCCTTACTGTAATTGAAAAACATAACTACCTAATAAAACGTTCCCCAGCCAAAGAGGTCACCTTAATACCAGAAAAAAAAATTAAGTATATACATATATACATATATATATATATATATGAATATTGTAGCTTCTTTGCAAGTGTATAAATATACTATTATTAAATTTGAACAATTACTTTTTTCTTAAAAAAATGAAACTAAAACTAGCTTCATTAAAGACATAATAATTTCTTATTCAGTTAGAAAGACAAAACGTGTATCAAATCTAATTTATACTTTAATAAATACTTTTACATAAATGATGTATATATAAATCATAGAACAGAAAACTATCTCATAAAACTAAGACCTAAAAATTTTTTTTAAAAATGTTATAAATATAAACTTAATACAATTATAGCAAGAAAATTTCAACAAATAATACAATACAAGAATATACATACTATCTAACCTTTATAATAGTCTATTTAAAATAATTCTTAAGAAATTTACATATAATAGCATAATGACCAGTCCTATAGCAATTACCACAGTGGCAAGCTTCTATTTTTGAAGCAAAATTTTCTTTTGTTCTTGAATTTACACAATTTTTATTCTCAATATTAGTTTCAGCTCTTTTTTTTAACTTATATTAGCTTGAATTTAAATCTTGCTCTAAATTCAAGTTTTATCTTTTATTTAAGTCTTGTTTTGGATTTATGTCTTCAAGAATGTTTTGCTGAGTAGAATTTTGTAACTTTGGACATCTTTTATACTTAACTTTTTTGAATTTTTAATTTGGTTGCTATCAACAGTTATTTGTTCATTGGTATTAACCTCAAAATTGTTTTTAATAAATTTTACTGTCAATTCTACAAATTCATTAACTAATTCATTTTTTATAGCAAACTTTAGCCCACTTTTAGCTATGCTAAAACCATGTGCATATTTTTGTTTTTCGGCAATATTTGCATGAATAGTAGTTTGATACATATTAGATTTATAAATAAAACTACTTAATTTAGGGTTAGGATTCCGTGGCCTAGTGGTCTAGACATCTAACCCTAAAATACATATGTGGCTTAATATATCCTCATTGTAATTGTATAGCATTATTTCTACTTAATAAAAGGTTTCCAGCCAGAGAGGTCATTTTAATACCAAAAAAAAAAAAATTATAGTACTATTACATTTTTTTAAAAAAATTTTTACTAATTATTAATAAAAATATCACTTTAAAATTACAAATTAATAAAAATTTTTTTTTAATTTATAGTAGTTGTTAAGATATTTTTAATTAAAATTTTAAAAAAATTTAAAACATCTATTGAAGAATATAAATATAACAAAATTTGCTATTTTTATTTAAAATTTAATAATAGTTATCTCAATAACTATTAATCAAAATCAGCTCAAATTTTTATTATAGATAGTGTAGATCTTCTTTTATTATTATTATTTTTTTTCGGTGTTAAGGTAACCTCTTTGTCAACGGCAATTTATTATCATTAAGTTTTATTTCAGTATACAATGAGAGTATATATAGCCACACGTGCACTTTTTGAGTGCCTAATTTAAGTAGTCCGCCCAAAGGTTCTACACTATCTGCCATACCTGCGCCCCAACTAGGGGTACCTATTTAAACCCTCTGATCATATTCTTAATTCCACCATGTGGGACTTAAAACCTAGGTATAACTTCACTATGCATACCAGAATACATGGATCTATGCAACACCACTAAATTAACAGCCAGACTTAGGATGGGACCATATGTCCTGATTTATCCTTGAGGTAAACCTGCTAGAGTGGTATATTCCCACAATGTATTCATCTAGACTTCGGTAACTTATGGCATAGCTTAACCTATGCACTTGGGGTCAGGGCTAACCATTGAACCCCTACTATTATCTACTTTATATCCTTTTAAGGTTCACAGATTCCTGTACTACATTCTATCACTTTCCACACTTTACTCTATTTGGTATTGTTATTCTTCCAAATCCAGATAGCTCAGAAGGATTGGCCTGCCCAGATCTGAGTTTCCCAAGCTCAGTCTGAAGGTCTCCTGATTCCTGGTCCATGATTTTATAACACGTAACCTTTTCCTCTGAGGTTTTCTCTCTAGAACCTTGGTGGCCTGGTTGGTAGATCCCTTTTGCCTAAAGGATCTTTGTCATACAACTACTCCAATTTTTGGGATCTAGTCAGATCTATTCTGCAGTATCAAGTAGCACCTGGTTAGATCAACCTGCTACATTCTTAATCAGGGTTTGCCAAGCCAGCTTCAGTTCTTCATAAACTACCATAAGTAGGTCTTAATAACATTCGGTCAGAACACCTTATCATGGGTTTGTACCACCTATACCAGTTTGCATTTCTTTGTGTAATGACATAAATGCATTCATGCCTCCCAAGCCACTTTAAGCGTTGGTGTGCCCTGGTTTATAAATAATATGAATCTAGCCCAATTCTGAATAAGCTATTGCTATAGCACAAATAAATTATTCGAAATATCACCAGTAAAATTCGAACTCAGTACTATAGCTAACAAACTTGGAGGTGCGACAACTCCACTACTTTGCTACATCGCCACATATCTTCTTTTATTATATAAAGGTAAGTCAATAGAAAAGGAACAAATTTTTTTTAAGTAAAAGTCTTCTTGACTTTAAGCTTAAATATCTTGGTAATTATTTTATCAAATTTAATAAATTTTTTTTATTTTAATTCTATATAATTTCAAGATTATAATAAAAAAATTTTCAACAAATTTGATTAATTAGTTGTTGAGATATTTTAATTTAAAAATTTAAAAAATTTCACTAAAACAATTTGTTCCTTTTCTATTGACTCCCCTCCATATATAAAAATCTAGTTATATATTTCTTGAATAATTGGTTGTATTCAATAGTAAATTTCTTTAAAAAAATTGACTAATATATACAAATGATTATTTAATAATTACCAGACCAAATTGACTAAAATTTTTATATATAATAAAATAATATCAATAATATATATAGTAAAAATTTGAGCTGATTTAGATTAATAATTGTCATAGCTGATGCTGAAGTTGGCTGATACTGAAGCTCATGTAACAAACTTGAGGTCAGAAATGAAGATCGTATACCACATGACACTAACGTCAACATACGTACATACTCTCCTGATATGGTTCGTGTTATACATGTTGTATATAAAAATTTTCAAGAACAAACAATTGTTTTTTAGACACTTATTCATTGCCCACAATACCTTAGTATAGGCAACTTTTTTATATAAAAGTTTTTTTAAAATTACATTGCTCATCTACATACTGTTTTTAAATGAGTTCCTTATATACTTCAGAATCTATTTGCAGTGTTTTTTTTTTTAAGCTTTTTTTTATAAACAAAGCATATATATTTACAATACTTTCCAAGCCAAGTCATTTTTTGGATTTTTTTTCAAGCTTTTTTTTATAAACAAGGCATATATTCACAATATTTTCTAAGCCAAGTTGTCTTTTAGTTTTTTTTTCTGAAACAAATATATAAACAAAGGTATATATTTGCAGTTTTTGCAGTTTTTTTTGTTTTTATTTTTTGAAAGTCTTTTTTTTTTAAAAAAAGATTTTTTTTTTTGAAAAAACTTTTTTTTAAAAAAAAATCAAGTTCTTATATCAGCAATTCTAAAAATCTCTAAAATAGTGCAGAATATCAAATAATTATAGAATATCTTTACTCAAAAACAGTATCTGAAGATGTTTAAAAAAACAAAAAAAATACCAAACTGAACTTTATTTATTGATACAATAAATTTGTAATAGACAAAACCAAAATCTTATATATTCTTGTTATTATAAAAGATAGCATTATGTCTGAAAAACATCAGGTTGTTTCCAAGTATAACAAGGAATTATGTACCCTGATATTATACCATTTTCATGACTAAGCAAATTACTATAACTATCACAAGACATTTTCTACAATTTCAGAACAACATATTGGAATTATACAGAAGGAGATTCAAGTATACATCAATAAATATACTTCTTGTACTGTAAACACTAACCTTAAAGAAAAAACTAATATAACCCCAGTAGTATTTACAACACCATGGGAGCATATCCAGATTGATCTTGTCAATTTTTGTGATTTTATAGATACAAATGAAAGTTACACATAGTTACTTATCTGTATTTGTATATTTTTAAAATTCCTTGTAGCCATTCCTTTAAAAAACAAGAAGTTTGCTACTATTGCAAATCATCTTGTCAAGAATGTTTTCAAGATTTTGGGCCTCTCTACAATTATTCAAAGCAATAAAGACAAGGAATTTGTTACAAATATTCTTACCCAAATATGTAAGGCTTTAGGTATTACTATAAGGCATAGTCATCTTTATTACTTGCAATCACAAGGCCAGATTGAATATCATAGCTTTACCAAAATAATAGGATAAAAATAATTAATTATAACAGAAAGATTGAATTAGTGTTGTTGATACCTTTGCTATATCATATAATTCTTCTATATATGAGTCGCATGGCTATATACTACACAAAGTAATGTTTGGCTAGAAGATGCATTGTATTTATAATACTTTCAAAAAATCACTGAATATTTCTGAAGATAATAATTGTAAAGATGTTGTTACCATGTCTAAGATTGTTGATCAGTATGTTTTACAAATATTGCAAATCCAACAATTTGTCAATACGTTACTAGAAAAATATTATACAAAGGTTTGCAATCAAGATAGTATTTATAAAAAAAAAATCTCCAAACAATACAATTAAGGCCAGAACTATGATCATTATTGCATCTGATCACAATATAAACTAACAAATCTAAAAGCAAAAACCTCAACTGACATTTTTACAATAAGATATATTTAAAAGATTGGCATCTAATAATTGTATAGCAATTGTAAAAATAGATGGCAATGAGGTTTGGGTTCCCGTTAACAGAGTCAAAACTATATAAAAAAACAAATAACTAAAAAAAAAACTGAAGAAAAGAAATTGAAATAATTAAAGAAAAAAATCAAACCTAAAAACTTAAAAAAAAAGTAATTGAAAAAATAATTTTGAAAAAAAGGTGACAAAAAAGAAAAATCAAAGAAGAGGTAGAAAAGGAAAAATTAAAAAAAAAGAAAGCAAAGTCAAAAGAAGTAAAGAAAAGCTAAAAAAAAAAAAGAAATAAAGAATACAAAGAAGAAAAAAGTAAATAAAAGAGAAAAAAAAGAAAGATGTCTTTTTGAATTAACTAACAGATTTTTATAATTTAAGGAAATTTGTTGAAAAAATTAAAAAAAAAATTTGAAAAAAAAATTAAAAAATCGAAAAGAAAATAAAGAATACAATAAAAAAAAAAGATAAATAAAGAAAAAATAAAAAAAATACCAAACTGAACTTTATTTATTGATACAATAAATTTGTAATAGACAAAACCAAAATCTTATATATTCT